CGTTCAACCTCGGGATTTACACTCGGCTCGACACGGATATGTGAAGAATGAAGGGACCTGCAGCGAAACGGAGAGCTCAGCCTCTGACTGAGTGCCTGTTTTCGCAGTCTGACCACCTGTTGAAGGTAACGTGCTAACGTGGCTAACGCTAGCATCACCGCACGTAGCCCCGTTATTTTAAGGTCATCTTAGCTTATGAAAGTTTTACGTCGCAGCTGTACGAGCTAGCTACGTGTTTTGTAAGCTGCTGTGCTCTTCACTGCAAACAGCTCAGACTATTAGAACCAGCACTGAGGCCTGTTACATTTATACAGTGTTAGAGCAATGGCTGCAACCTACAGCCAGATATACTCCAAAATCATGTCCAAAACTCGAAAACGGAAAGATCGCGTTAAATTACAAAGAGCAGAAGGTGGGAACACTCACCACTGTTGTGTCATAAAAAAAATCTAATGATCAGTTTTGACGTTTAAAGAGTTTAGATCGATCAGTTGTTTACATCACTCAACACAAGCAGAACTGCATTACAAAATCAGAAGATACGTCGTCCACATTCAGAAGCACATCTCTGTATAGTGACAGTTATTATGATTTAAACAGGCAAATGTTCAGCATTCAAACTACAGATGAAGAATAGTCAACCAGATGTTTCCCCCATTATGTCGATATCAGTCAGTCAAGTACACACCCACACAGCATGTTAACAAACTGTGAAAAAAAGCCACACAAAAAATGAATGATTGCTGGTAAGGGTTTCTAAACATTAGTATTTACAAATAGTATGTTGTGACTTACCTTCAAAATTACAGTGGTCCCTCGCTATAACGCGGTTCACATTTCACTTCGCTGTTTCGCAGATTTTTTAGTGCAAGTTTGCATGCTTTTTTTTTTTTACATCACATTGTGTCCTGCGTCCTGATCGGCTGCAGACGATCTCCTCCGTGACGTGTCTCCTGTACAGTACAGAATCGCTGCATTGATCGCTAGCAGTGTGACTCTGAAGTGCAGTACTGTATGTCGACGAAATGTTTTGCACCGTCAAAAAATAAAATTGGCTACTTGATTTCACCTATCGCTGGTTATTTTTAGAACATAACACCTGCGATAAACGAGGGACCGCTGTTTACAGATACTGAGAAATATAAAATTTGAATCCCTTTTCTCTTTTGCTCTGAGGCATGGGGGAAAAAATCGAGTCGATGAATATCATTTACAGATATATTGGGTAAATGCCCAAGACATCTATAGAAATGTAAATCGCCGCTTGATTCATTCATTTGCTTAACTTGTTTTGGACCCTACACAAGGCGCAAATAGGACACCGGAAACAAAGCTCCCCACAGGAGTTTCCACACCGGAAGTAGCATATGTTAACGTGCACATAGTCTATTTGAATCCGGTCTTTAAGTGATGAGGTGACGAATCCTACTTACGGGCCTAAAGTAGTCTGTGTTTAATATGGCTTTTGTGTTGTTAACATGTTTAATGTTTTGCATTTTCTTCTATTTAATCTCAAAAAGCTCCTAAAAACAGTCAGTGATCACTGCTGACCTCCCTCGGCTTTTATTACCGCTAATAATTTAAGATCAGTTTTTAAAACTTTACGATGTAACTACAGCCCAGCCCATGCAGCAGTATATGAATGACTAACCTCGTATTGTGGATGGATTATCTCAGTTGTTCTCCTGGCTGAAGTTTGGTCCGTTTACAGCATCCTGCCATGCGATTACATTTGTTCCTGACCACCGAGAACACTCACATTAACTTTTATCGAGTGGAAAAAAGTTAGCTTGTTTATATTATGCTAACATAGCTGTGTCGCTAGCGGTCACGTAGCACATCATTATATACCAGCTAGCCAAACTTCAGTAACCCTACAAACGTCACTGCTGTTTAGTTTTCTGTCTTCATTTGTGTTGGAAGTGGTACGTTTTAATTTGTTTCCAAAACCCCGCAGTCAGGACATGCTATATTGTATTTAGATAGAAGCTAGCGAGCTAACTTCCTGCTAACTTCTAACTCCGTTAAATGTCATAAATTCCATTTTCATGGATGCCTGGATGTTAAACTCAATTGTTACACCATTTTATTAAAGATGAAAGACTTTAGACAGTTTTTCAACTCTCAGTAATGCCACAGTGATCGTTTGATATATGGACCTGCAGCGGAGTTTAGGCCCAGACACGGTTAGTGACGTCAGACTTAAAACCCGGAAAGCCGCACAATTTTTAAAATGAAGTTGTTAATCCAACAGCTAATCCAGCAGCTAATCCACAAATTAATCCCTGAGCGAACAGGAAAGGGAAATGGATTTTGAAATGCAGTTTATTAAAGTGAATTGGAAAAAGGATTTTGAAATGCAGTTTATTAAATTGGAATTCAAAAATGTTTTTTGAAATACAGTTTTTAAAAGCATTTTAAAAATCAGTTTGTTAAATTGGAATTCAAAAAATGAATTTCCAAATGCAGAATTTATTCTATAATTCATTATTTAAGCACAGAATTCTTTATTTCGATGCGCGTGGCTCTTGTGGTCCTCCATATTTTTCAAATGATTTCTTGTGGTCATAATAAAAATGAGTAAACAGAAGTTAAAGCACTCAAATAAGGAACTGGTTTCCACAGAAACAGAAGCAGTACTGCAAAATTGAATCTCCACATACTGTAAAACCTTTAATTTGGGTTATCATGTTCATTTAGGATTTATATGCCAACATGCTTTGTGCCTTCTGTTACGTTTTGTCATTTATTTGGGGGCAAACTTGAAATAAATGTCTCAAATAACAAGAAACTTGTCTTAAGTGATCAGATCTATGGACTAAGAACACAACTCAGGAGTGGGATATAAAATGAAAATTCTAAATTTACGTTATTAAACAAGTATACAAAGGTCAAAGTAGCCAGTGATCACAGAAAATGAAGAGCAGAATTGGCAGGAATAAAAAAAATTGGAAATCTTTGGATATCCTTGGAATGCTCAAAGACAAGTAAGCAGACAACTGGTGGAAATGAGCGGCTTTATGTATGAGGGACATTTTGAGGGAATGGGGAACAGGTTAAAATGTGAGAGGAGGGTCAGCACAGATGAATCTAGAGGCAGGTGGGAGTGGCAGCATCTGAAGTGTCAGCAGAGTGCATGATGGGAACATAAAAAGACTGACTGAATAAAGAACGACAGAAAACCGAAAGCATCACAGGCCTGTTTGCTTTGACATTACAACATCTAAACAGAGAAGTGTTTCACTCACTCTGTTTCTGCTAAAATCACACATTGACTTTAACTTTGTCGTCTCTCCTCTGTAGCAGCCTGATCATTTGGTAAGACTTTTTTTTTACATATAGTAATTATATAAAATTGTATAATACTCTAAAAAGTAACTGCCTTAATTTACTCTTTAGGTCTAGAGATTTGTGACATGATTTTCTGTTTTAATCTTTTATTTGTGTAATTATGGCTTTTTATATTTTCTTTATACAGGTGATGAGTTTTGTGACAGTTCAGTCTGTGAACATCATGACAGACATCATGTTACTGAGTCTCCTTCTTATTCCAAGTGAGCCATCTCATTTCAGTCATTTACAGTCTGACAGATCAGTGAAGATAGATATACTTTACGAAGTAAATCCATGGCTCTTGGAGTCGATTTTGTCATTATAAATTTTATCTTCATTTAGATTTGCACCTTTTAACTTTGCTCTTACCTTTTCCAGGGACTTTGGCTGCTTGTCTTCAAGATTCACACCTGTTCATCACTGCACCAACAGAGATGGAAGCTCTGAGTGGATCGTGTTTACAAATCCCATGTAACTTTAGTGAAATTGGAACAGAAAAGTTTGACAGCACAAGACCTGTGTTTGGAGTGTGGATGAAAAATCATTCGGATGTTTTTGCACATCCAAACAATGTGATTTTCAACAGCAGTGAGACAGTTAACATCTATCCAATGAATATTACAGGAAACCTGAAGGAGAAACACTGCACCACTCTGTTTTCCAACTTAACCACAAATTATACAAACACATACTACTTCAGAATTATGAACTGGCCCTACAGAGCAACAGCTGTTTGTGATCCTCTTAAAATAACAATTAAAGGTGAGAACGTTTTCTTTCAATTTATTAAGAACATAAATCCTAAACAGCTACAACTTTTGTGTAAACAACACAAAGCAGTTGTGGTCAAATGTGCAAATCAACCTGTTTAATTGATTTGTATTCAGATCAGAAATTAATGGAAAATTGTAACTTCATTTCATGAGAAACAAAGACATGAGAAATGAAAAAAAAAAACTTATAATGTGTTCAACAGTGCTCCATAGTAAACACAGTTTTACAACCTAAAATACAAACTATATTTCACACTGTTAACAAACAGATATATTTACTTCACAGAGTTCAATAACCACCTTGTTCAGAAGACCTTAAGCTACTTGTGCAAAGCCCTTAAAAATGAACAAGCCTCCAGCAAAACTGCAAGAAAACAGAAAATTAAAAATCCAAGAAATTATTCAAATGAAGAAAAAACTCAAAGCAACAAATTAAATTATCAGTTAAAGCATGAATGCAATAATGCAAAATACACAGTGTGAATGCATATTCATGTTTGTATAACAACTTGATTTCAAAGGAAAATAACTAATGGTCATCGCAAACTAGAATCCTACTGCAATTCTCTCTGTTCTCCACTATTGCCTGTGCTTACAATGAGATACAAAAAGAGCATTGTTCTCTGACAGCGATTGAAAATTATAACATAGTTTGCAATGGTATTTTGTACAATATCTTATTTACTTTTTTTACGCACATTGTTTTAGTTCTTCAAACATATTTAGAGAACCACAAAAAATTAAAAACATGTTAAATATGTATGCAAATACTTTTTGTCCACTACATAGGGTGTATATTTTTTATTATCCAATGGTATCACTGATCTCCATCTGTTTCTTGACTCTATTTCCTGCGTTATTGGTGTAAAAAAAATGTTTCATGTGAAACCACAGATTCTCCTTGGAGGCCCAATATTACAATCCCAGGTGATCTGAAGGAGAAGAAGTCTGTCACTATAACCTGCTCAGCTCCCACTCCCTGTCCACACTCCCCTCCTCAACTCACCTGGAATCTCCAACAAGACTCTCACAAAAAAATAGAGAAAAACACAGATGGAAGCTTTACAACTAAAATCCAGCAGAACATCACTCTGTCAGACACACATGATGGAAAGAAGATCAGCTGCTCTGCCAGATATCCTGTGAACCAAGGAAACGACACCAAGAGAGCAGAGACAGAAGAGACTCTCAGTGTTTCATGTAAGACACTCGGGGGTTTTTGTTTGTTTGTTTGTTTTTCCTGTCATTAAAAAAATGTTTACAGGACTTCATTTTTTTTCTCCAGATGCTCCTAAAAACACCTCAGCATCCATCAGTCCATCAGGTTTGGTGTCAGCAGGCAGCTGGGTGAACCTGACCTGCTCCAGCAGAGCCAAACCTCCAGTCAGTAACTTCACCTGGTTCAAGAAGAGCAGAGATGGAGCTGTGAAAGTATCTGAAGGAGAGATTTACAGCTTCAATGTAACAGATGGAGGAGTTTATTACTGTGTGGCCACTAATGATCTGGGTAATCAGACATCAGCAGAGATTCGTGTGGCTGTTGCAGGTAACAGCTGTAGCCAAGATCTGTTCTCAAATTAGTTTTTCTTTGTGTCCATGCAAAATTAATTGTTGTTACTTAATCTTTTCTTTAGGTCTCTTTTCATCTGGAGTCACACTGTGGCCACTTATTGGTGGAATCATTTGGATTGTTGACCTCTTACTTCTGTAATGTTATTCTGCTTAATGGTTTTTGTTTGGTAAGTATCAAACTTCAAAGCACAAAACAGAAAAAAAGTTGCTGACACAAATATGTTACCTGCACATTAAAAATATTTGTTTCCAATCACATTTAATTTTTATCAAATCTAAATTAAACACAATACATACTGTACTCAATTTAACTGCTGTTTATTTCTTCCTGGTGATTAAATATAGCTCTATAGCTATTGTTTATGATCATGTTTATATAGTTTTTCCATGCTCAGATGCTGTGTGTGCTCTCCTGTGATTTATTTGTATGTTAGATATCTTGGTATAAATGTCTCAGAGTTAACAAAAATGTTGTTCAAATGATGTCCAAATGCAACAAAACCTTCCTGAAAGCAATTCTGTAAAGATTAAATGTGGTACTGTGATACTTCTGATTCATCACACAATAATAAACTAAGTACAATTTTTGACAAAGTGGGATTTTGCCAAAATGTTAGTGAAAATTAAAGGGTTGCCATTAAAGCATGTTTTATTAAAAAATATTAAATTAAGAACTCTGCCTTATCAAATAGAATAGAATAGAATAACCCTTTATTTTAATTGTATATGTACAATGCAATTATGAAATTAAGCAGTTACTAAGTTGTATTTTGTGTTCTTCACATTTGCAAATGTGAAGTGACAATACATTACAACAACTGGAATTAATGTAATTATTAAATCTTTTATTCAAATTCTTGGATTTTATTTGCTTGATGTTGTGGAAAGCTTTGCTGACTAAAAAAGGCCTAAGACACACGTGTTAAATTTATAAGTGTTTAACTACAAAGTCTGACATTCATCAACATCTTCTTCACTGAACTTTTTTACACTCTGTGAATAAACTCTGTGAAAGAACTTCCTCAGAGTCAAGCTGTCCTACAAATACAAAGAATTCCAGTAATTCCACATATCATCAGGGTCTTTCAGTCAGAAAACAAAATAAAACAGCGACCAATGATTCTGCAGTGGGTTTGGGGTTATTTTATTTATTTACTTTGTTCCAGATTATAAATGGTAGGCAGTTTTACTTATTAAAGTAAGACACATATGGACTAACAAGGTGTTACAATATTACATTTTATTTTTCAAATCTCATTAATTCTTATGTACCACAAACAGTGTTGGGAAGGTTACTTTTAAAATGTATTCCATTACAGAATACAGAATACATGCCCCAAAATGTATTCTGTAACATATTCCTTTACGTTACTCAATGAGAGTAACGTATTCTGAATACTTTGGATTACTTAATATATTATCATGCTGTTTACAACTATGTGGATGTGATTTATTACTGTTACTGAAGGTCCGCGGCTCCAAACCGTAGTAAAGGGACCTCTGGCTAGTACGTTGGGTTCTGTGTCGGGCTCGTAGCCGAAAAATAGCTTTACTTTGTTGTCTGGGTCAAGTTTGCTAGCGAGAGACAGAGAGAGGCGTTGAACGGCTGCTCCAACGGAACTTGTTATTTTTGGCACTCTTGTCAGGCACTCTTCTTGGCTGTAGTGGTTATTATTATATTTACATGCTTCCAGCTCCCGTTTTTGCTCGATGACA